ATGGCCACACTTCTCTCCTGAATTCACAATCCTCCTTCTCCTCGTCTCTTCCTCTTCCTCTCCTCTTCCTCCTCCCCTCCTCCTCCTCCTGATCTCCTCCTCCTCCTCCTCCACCTCCACCACCTCCTCCTCACCTCCCCCCCTCCCTCCCTACACCTGTGGCATTGTCACTTCCTGCGCGTCGACCGGCAGCGTCAGCAGCTTCTTCGTGGTTGGTCGAGCAGCAACTCGAGCTGACACCCGCTGTCAACCCCAGCTGACCTCCAGGTGCAGCCTCACCCTGGTGCCACAGAGCAGCTTCTTGCAGGTGTTGCTTCAGGCTCGAGTTCTCGCCCTCCAGCTGTCACAATTTCTCAGCTCGTCACTCCCAGGTGAGAGGATGACACTTCACCTTCGCCAGCTCCCTCTCTTGCCGGGAGCACCGTGTTTGCTGGGAAGAGCAGGGATGTCAGGTCGAGCCCAGCAGCCCTCGAGCAACCGCATCACTCAGCTCCTCATCCAGCTCTATGCATCTGATTCTCAGCTTGTCACCGTTGGTCCTCTCCAGCTGGAGGGGGGGAGAAGTCAGACGAGTCACAGGGCGGTCGCTCATGGCACCATCGCCGAGTCCTTCTCCAGCCTCGCGAGATCCTCGTTGCGCCTGCTGCTCCTCTCCAGCTGCGAACCTTCAGCTGGGGTCTGCACGAGGAGCCTCCTTCTCACCTTCTCCTTCTCCCTTCTCTCCTCCTCGAGCTCCTTGGACACAGTCGCCAACTTCTGAGTGACCGAGTCTAGCTGCGAGGTAAGCACGCCGTTCTCCTTCTCCCACTTGGCCCTCACAGTGTCGAAAGCTTGTTTCAACTGGCAGACGCCGACAGGTCAACAGCGGTAGCAATCAACGCAGCATGTAAAACAATCATTATCGTCGTCAACGTCGTCGTCGTCATCATCATCATCATCTCCATCCTCATCCTCCTCATCGTTACCTCGACAAGTTGTGTCTTCCTGACGTTGGCAAGCTGCGAATACTTCTCAACCTCATTTTCCAGTCTGCTCTTCTCCTTCTTCAGCATGTTTATCTCCTGCACCTTCTCTGCCAGCTGCAGCAAACCCCGTCAGCTGGGCGATACCTCGGCTTCCTGACCTCTTTTTTCAGCTCGACTACCAGCTCCCTCGACGTCTGCAGCTCGAGCAGGGTCAGGGCGAACGCTTCCTCCACCTTCTGAATGTCCGACATCTGCTTTTTGTAGTCGGCAGCCAGCTCCTCGTACTTCCCTTTGAGAGCACGCAGCTCTGTTCAAGGGAGGCATCATGTCAGCAGACAGCACACCTTTCCTCCTCCTCCTCCTCCTCCTCCTCCTCCTCCTCACCCGTTGCCAGTCTCAGCCTCTCCTGCGCGGTCTGCTTGGCCGCCATGGAGATCCTAACCCTTTCCTCTCGGTGGGGAGGGAGCTTCTTTGTTTCCACCTCCTCCTTAGCTCTCTTGACCTTCTTGTCCAGCCTCTCCTGCTTCTTCTTCAGCGCCTCCAGGTCCTTCTGAGCTTTCTGAATCTCTTTCATCTCCTCCTCGTCGATCTCCCCATCTTCTTCAGCTGCAGCTATAATCTCCCGCAGCTTCTTCTCCGCTGCCTTCACGTCGTTGGAAGCCATCAGCGCTGCCAGCTCGGCCTTCTCTGCTGCCTTTCTCTCCAGCTCTTCTTTGAGCTGCTCCGCGGCTCGCTTCTTCTCCTGCATGGCGCGGAGGTGCTCCTTGGCCTGGTCGATCTGTGCTTGCTCGTTCTCGTCGATCTCTCCATCTTCTTCAGCAGCAGCAATGATCTCCTTGAGCTTCTGCTCCGCTGCTTCAAGGTCGTTCCCTGCCATCATGGCCTGGAACTCGGCCATCTCTCGCTCGTGGTCTTGCTCCTTGGCATCTGACTCCGCTTGCTCGCTCTCCGCCGACTCAAACTTCCTTTCCTTGAGCTCTGCCAGCAGCGTCGAGAGAATTCGGACACTCTCCTCCTGCTTTGTGGAGCTCGCGAGCTGTGTTGAAGCAAACAACCTTACCTGCTCCAGCTGCCGCTCCACCCAGGAACTTGCGCTCCCTTCAACAGCCGTCGGCACAGGCACAGGAGGCACCGAAGAGGAAGAGATCTTGAAGGCGCGGGGAGGAGGAGGAGCGCTCTCTCGTGTCGCCGGGGCCTTCCTATTCCTCCATCTCTCCTCCAGCAGCTCAAGGTTGTCTCGTCGGAACTTGCCGCCTCCAGCCACGATCGCCCTGCCTCCTCTCGAGCTGCTCTCGGAAGGGAGAGGAGGAGGACGAGGGGAGATCAGTCGTTCTCCTCCTCTCGGTGTGATCGGCGGCAGCTCGCACGCTCCCCGTCGCTCCTCCTCCTCCCCTGCCATCATAGCACCGACTGGCCCGTAAATAACCGCCGTACTTGACTAGCGTAACTGACCGGGCCGGGCCGGCCCGGGGGACCACAGAGTCCGAAAGTTTAGACTCAGTTCAACTTCACTCGGAGGCTCCGAGGCGAAGTAAACTTTGAGTAAACTTTAAAGGCGAAGCAACTTCTCAGCCTACCCCCCCTTCCCCTCAGCCCGCTGGTAGATTTTTGCTGCTACCCGTGGTGACGGGGATTTCCATAGGTTGAGTACCCCCCTGATTTCCCTCCAATTTGTTACACAAAGTACCCCCACCCCCTTCAATTCACCCCCTACCCCCTCCTCAAGTCAAACACAGCCGAAGGACATCTCATGACCAAAAGAAGAGGAGGTCAGCAAATTTAACAAGAAAGACCTTAAATTCTACAAGAAAGATCTTATTTTAGCCGATTTCTGGGTTGATCAGCTCGAGTTGACAAGTTGAACAAAGACGGAGGAGGGATCGGACCGGAAGGAGGGCGAAGAAGTGGGGGGGGCAGGGGAGAGAGGAGGAGGAGAAGAAAGAGACAGGACGGAACTTAAAGGATGGTACCTGTTGGGCTGTGCTGAGGATAGTCTTCTTGATGTAGCAGCCCCATTTAGCCATCCTGGGTCGCAATGCTGCTTTTACAAATGTCGGTGGTCTATTGGGTGCTGATGTCGATGCCAGGACGTTGTTAACGAGTCGAAGAGCTCATTGCAGGCATGATCGTGATCCTTCTTTTCAGATGAAGGCAGCTTAAGAGATAGCGCTTCACGGCACGACCATGGATCACGAGGACTTGGACGACGTTGCCTCCTCGGAGAACTCTTCTCCTTCCAGCTCAGCAAGCAACCGATCCCTCAACACGTCAAGGGATGTTGACAACCTGCCGAGTGATCCTGCGAAGCTGAGGACGCTCCTCCGCGCCATGCGTGCCGGAGCGAACGCGTACAAAGAAGGTTCCCAGTGATTCTGATTGCAGTTTGTATCCGTGACTGAACGAGCGCAGAGAGCGTGAGGCTGAAGGAGCTTCTCAAGAAGAGGGTCAGCACCCTGACGCGCTGTAAGTGAGGATGCTGAGAGCACCCACAGGATCACGAGATCTCGGAGCTGAGGCAGATCCTGAGCCTGAAGAACGGCCGGACGCCGCACCCGGTACGCTTTAGCGAGGATGAGCAGGAAGGCGGGATGATGTAGGATGGCAGCACGAGCATGACGCCGAGGTGAAGAATCTCCGATCGGAAAGAACTTCCTGTTTGAGAAGGTGCGGCACGAACTCTCTCTGGCAGATCACCAGGCACTTACTCCCTCTCCTTCATTGCCAGGCTGTGAGACTAGAGGAGAAAGTCAGAGGGCTGGAGGAGGAGCTGAGAAGCTGTCAGGCAGGCAAGCATTCGCCGGTCGTGGCTGAGCTGCTTGTTGTGACGCCTTTCCTTGCAGCGTTCGCCAAGTCGAAGATGGACGTGGACAAGCTCAGGGCTCGAGTGGTACACCTGCGGCGCCACCGCTGCCTCTGCTGCTCCTTGACTGATTGTTTCGTCCCTGCAGCACACCCACGAGTATGTGAACAAGGACAAGAGGGAGGGCCTGCAGTCCCTGATGCAGGAGATCCAACATTCGAAGCTCCTGCTTGTTGAGCTCACGAGCTCCCTGAGCTCGGAGCTGAAGCCCTCGGTAGCCAGTCTCGTCTCGCCCCGCTTTCCTGACATGCCCTGGCGGCTCAGATGGAGACGAGGCTGGCGTGGCTAGAGCTTGACACCGTCCGGAAGGAGAAGCAGGTGAGACTGAACGATTTCTTCCTGCTGCTGGCAACGTGACCGCGAGACATGAAGGAGGCAGAAGAGCAGTTCTTCCAGCAGTTCGCGTCGGTGAGTTCGCGCCCTGAGGTGTGAGCTGGGGGGTGAAGCGCCTGCAGATGCTAGAGCAGAACTCAGCACTGGAGCGAGAGCTGCACCAGTGCAGGGACATGCTGAGGAAGGAGCAGATGGCGGATAAGGCATCGATGGAGTCGTTCGTGAGGGGCTCGTCCGAGATCCTCGTCGGCACAGAGTTGAGGCTCAACAGCATCTGCGACTGCCTGGAGATGCTCGGGGAGAAGTTCGCGTCCCTCGGATACGACCGCACGCTCATGATCAGCGCCCTGGGCAAGCTCACTGGCCTCCAGGTCACTCGCTGCCTTCCCCTCCTTTCCCCTGTGTCTGACTCTACGCTTGTTGCTCCCCTCCTGCAGCAAAGTGAGTCGGTGAAGGTGAGCCGCCCTCCTCCTCCTCCCTTCTCCTCCCCCTCACCAGCATCGCAGGAGCTCTGCGAGAAGGCAACGAGCATGACGGAGGAGAGGTCCTTCCCGCTGCACCTCCACCCCGTCCCTAGCACCCCTCGCTCCTCTTCCGCCGTCATTGTCGCGCCAAGTTACTCAGTGAGGCCTCGAGCACGTCCAAGGTCCTGCGGCTCGCAGTCTGACCCTCCTTGGCAGGACACAAAGAGGTTTCCGCTCGCCTCTCCTCGCTCGCAGGCAGCTGAGCTCTTCGACGGGCACGCCAGGTTGCTGCTAGTGCTTCCCCAGCTGACGCTGACCTGGCGATCTCCAGGTCTCCTCGCGCTGCTCCTCAGTCCCCGCGGCGAGCGGATCATGCCAACCGGCTCCAGCTGGAGATCGGCAGGCTGCAGGTGGGTCAGGAGCTGTTTGCGAGATGGCACGTGACATGTCAAACCTGCTGTAATAGGAGCGACTGCGACAGAGTGAAGTTGCGCGGGAGGAGGAGGAGCAGAAGTGCAAGGCTCAGGTGGGTGCAGGAGCCTTGGAGGAGGGGTGGATGGATGGTCAGGGATGTTGCGGTTTTCGTTGACCCAGCAGTCTGACGCTCTTGCCCTGCTGCTGGCCAGGTCGCGACTCTCAAGAATCAGCTGCAGATCAAGAACGAGATACACGCGCTCGTCAAGATGAGCAACAAGAACATGCAGGTTTAACATCTCCTCCCTCCCTCTCGCCTTCTGCCACTCCATCCTCCTTTCCCCTTTCTTACCCCTACCGCCCCTCGTATCCCTCCCTGTCTTTCTCTTTGCTCTATTCCCTCCCCCCTCCCCCTCGACTCCACCATCTCCTCATTCCCCTTTCCCCTATCTCCCTTCCCATTTCTCCTCCTCCCTCTGTCCTTCTTCTGGCTTCTCTTCTCTCCTACTCTCCTGCTCCATCCTCTCGTCCTCTCTTCCTCTCGTCCTCTCGTCCTCTCGTCCTCTCCCCTCTCCTCCTCTCGTCCTCTCGTCCTCTCGTCCTCTCCTCCTTCCTCCAGACTCGCTATCAGTTACCTGATCTCTCAACCACATGGTGCAGGGCGACATGGAGGCCATGCAGAAGCTGGTCGAAGTCGCAAGAGATGAGGCACATTCCTTGCATCCTCCCCTCCCCACCCCTCGCTCATCTCCTCCCCTCCCCACCCCTCGCTCATCTCCTCCCCTCCCCACCCCTCGCTCATCTTGCCCCCAGGTGGAGCAGTGGAAGCGAAAATTCACTGAGCTGGAGGAGGAGAGGAGGATCGTAGCCGAGCATCAGGACGAAAACAAGAAGATCCTTGCGGAGGTTGACAGGTCCGGCCCCGCCTCTCCCCCAGCTACTTTTCAGCTGACCTGTCTTTGTGGACTGGCAGGTGGAGGAGGCGCTGCGCCCAGCTCGAGATGTCCATGTACCTCTCAGGAGGACTTCAGTCCCCCGGTCCAAGCCTGCAGGCCCCTGCTAGCTCGACCGCTGGTGGGAGGCAGCTGGAGTTGGCGAAGGACATCCTGGAGGATGGTCAGAGCATCGTTGCTGGACTGCGCGCGGAGTTTGCGGATCAGATGCCGCTAGATCGAAGAACTGCTCCTCGGTCAGACGGCACCAGGGCTACCAGGTCCCCAGCAGGAGCAGGGTATCATGCGACGGATCGCGTTGGTCAGCCACCAGATGGGGAGGGAGCAGGGGGGGATAAAAAGGTGCCGGCAGCCTCGCCGAGCATGCGGCCTAGAGGTGAAGCTCTGGAGCTGCTCGTCTCCTCGCCCCCCGCCATGGCCGACGGCACGACGCCCAGCATGACCCCGCAATCCGGCTGGCAGACACAACCCAGCTGGCCACGAGCTGGGAAAGATTGGAGGAGCCCTAAGGGGGACGTGAAGTCTGACTTCAGGCCCGTGAGGTACAGCTGGAGACAGCAGAGTGCGGCGGGTGCGGCGGGCTCGGCAGCGGGGGAGGCGGGGGAGGAGGAGGCGCATGCGCATCATCAGGGAGGGAACACGTGCGACACCAGCACGGCAGACACTGAGAGCTCGGACGTGCAGCAGCCGCAGCAGCTCCTCCATGCCCGCAGCCGCTTCCTCCTGCATGCAAGCGCGCAAGGGGCCCAGCCCTCCTCGCGCCGTCCGCTGAGGAAGCGGGAAGGAGGGCCGAGGACAGCAGGCGGGTCAGGTCGAACGCCCCCTTACATGAGTGGGGAGAACTCGAGTGACGGGGAGTCATACACCAAGGGGGAGGTGGCAGGAGGGACGGGAGGAGGAGGAGGAGGAGGAGGGAGGAGAGATGGTGGGAGCTACGTCTTCACCCCCCGCGCTCGCTCCGTCTCCCCTTACGAGAAGTGCTCGGACCCGGAGGACTACGCGTGCTCGGAGGGGCGGGGGAGGGACGTTAGGAAGAGGAAGGGGTTATGCAAGGTCTGCAACAAGTCAGTGTACAAGTGGCAGCTGAGGCTGCGGGAGATGGACGGGGGATACGTGCACCAGGCCTGTCTGCGAGAGGTCCTCTACCCCGGCGAGGGGAGGAGCTTGCATCCTGAGAACAGGGCGGTCTAAGGGTAAGGAGATAGCCGTGCTCCTGCTCCTGCTCCTGCTCCCCTTCTGCTCCTGCTCCTGCTCCTGCTCCTGCTCCTCCTGCTGTTTCCCGTTGTAACATTTGGCCCTGGTCCTTGTACAGTTATGATGCTTTGTAGTTTGTTTATTTTCGTTTTCGAGAACAAGTCTATTCTTGTCCTTCTCTCCTCCCCTCCGGTTTGTCATCAACCCACCGCTTCCTCCTTCCCTCCTCTCTCCTCTCCCTCCCCGCCTCCTCCTCCTCCTCCTCTCTCCCATTCTTTGTTCCTGTTCCTTCATCATCCCCTGCTGAAGATGCTCTTCCATTCCCATTCCTTGCGGTGCGAGCGGACGATATGCCATCTCTTGCCCTCCCTGACATTCCCTCCAACTCCACCTGAAATCGAAACATTATCCCCCCCCTCCCCTCTCCTCCTCCTCCTCCA